TTCCCCTAATTTACTTGATTAAGATTTACAGCCTTTCTGCCTCCTCAAAGCATAGCATTGATTTCTTTAATATCAAAATATATTTCCTAAAATAGATTACTAATGACTGCAGTCAGTTATTTATTTAAGGAAGATTGAGCCAACTACTACTATATGAATTCCTGTAAAAGACTGAATTTTATAATTTTCATAATTAATGTTATTCTTATAGGAATGTGCTATTAATGTGACTGATCACTTCTTATTTTGATCTCTTAAAGCATCTTTCATTTTATAAATTAGATTTAAAATAAATCCTATTAGACATTTGTAACTATTGAAGTGATAACGTTTTTAAATTTAAAGTTTCACCATCCCATTCTAGTTATTAAAGAATTATTTGAACCTACCCCCCAAAAGAAGAAAAAGGCTACATGATCATTATCATTTGTTTGTAATTTACTTCAATCACATGTGTTTTGCTTTATTGAATTCTATTTTTCTTTGTTTTTTTTTTTTTTTAAGATTTATTTGTGCATACAGAACTGGGGTACAGGCTAGAGGCTCAGGAGCGGCGAGAGGCTTCACCAGAGACAGAGTGGGGAGCAAAACAGGCAGATCTATGCAGTACACTGCTGAGGGGAGCAGCGGGCGGGTCAGGAGAGGTCTGCCACGCCATGTGGTCACCTCCGGGGCAGGTGGGAGTCAAACTCATGCGGAAGTGGCTTTAATTTCTCAGTACTGTGCTTTAACCCGCTGCGCCACCAGGGAGGGCTTGAATTTTATTTTTAATAAAATTTTGAATCCAATTTTTCCACTCAATATTGACATTTGTATATTGTTGTGGTTTTTAATTGCTGTATACTATTCCATCATGTATCCTACTATAATATACTTACTTTCCCATTTTTTAGCATTTAAGACCTCTCCTGACCCACTCACTCTCAGCAGTGTACTACATCACTCGGTCTGTTCTGCTCCCCATTCTGTCTTTGGTGAATCCTCTCACCACCCCTGCACCTCTGGCCTGTACCCAAGTTCAGTATGCATAAAAAAAAGATACGATGACAATGACAGAACTGAATGACTAGTTAGATGTGCTGACTTGAGTTAGAATTTAACATTGGACCTAGTTTCCATTCAAAATTTTGAATTTTTTTCACTCTGAATTTCACAGTTTGCTGTATTTAGTGATATTAATAAAACTACAAAACCATAAACAGCAGGTATTGAGATTGCTTAAATGTATGCCAGTATTTTCTGAAATTATAATTAGAACTATCTTTATTAAGATGTTTGATTATATTTTCTTTTTTAAAGACTTATTTAAAGACAAGAACTTGGGTATAGGCCAGAGGTACAGGGGGGTGAGAGGATTCCCCAGAGACCGACTGGGGAGCAGAACAGGCAGATCGACTGCTGAGGGGAGCAGCAGGTAGACCAGGATCAAACTTGTGTTGCAGTGGCTGCAGATAGCTTCATAGTGCTGTCCTAATCCGTCATTAGACAGGTGAGCCCTGATTATATTTTCTGAAATAATGAAGTTGTGTTATAATTTTAAAAATTGAGTAGAGGTTTAACTTGTTTAAATTTAGGTAACTGAAATATCTATTCTTTTTTGAATACCTCATTATTTTTGCCTATGGGAATGTTATTTGCTTATTATGCAATCTATACTTTTTGTTGTTTTTTTGTTTTGCTTAAAAATAAAACAATCCTAACATTTTGATGAGTATTATATTGATAATTTGTTCACTGACTAGGAACTGATGCAAAATAGGTCATTTTAAGAACAAAGTTATATATTCCCATATATATTGTTAAAAGGTCTCTTTGCTTTAAATTCTTGGAAGAAAAATTTTTCTTAAGAATGAGCAGATATATTGATATATACTATCAAAGAGGGATGCTAAAATCAGCAATGATGTTTCCTTAATCTTGTAACTCACAGTGCCAAATCAGAGATCTTCTAAAGACTTGGTTTACACACAGATAACATCACATCACATCACATCACAATACAACACAACGCAACGCAACATAACATAACATAGCATAACATAGCAAAATTACCTTGTCAATGTTAGGTAGAAGTGAACATGTAGAGTCTTCCTGGTGGCACAAGGGTTTGTCTTGGGACTGTGAGGCTATCCACAATCACTGCAGTGTGAGTTAAACCCTGGCCTGGCATCTAACTCAAATGGCAGCAGCCTCTTCTGTCTTGCTGGCCTCTCCCATCAGCAGTGTATTTCAGTCAATCTGCCTGTTCTTCTTAGTCTGTCTCTGGTGAATCCTCTCACCGCCCCTTCCACCACAACTCTGGCCTGCACCCCAGTTCTTGTATGCATTAATAAATAAAATAAATCTTTTAAAAGAAGGTAACATGTAGAGACTTTCTGTTTTTATATTTATATACCAAGAATTTGGAATAAAGTAATTGTGACCCTTTATAAAACCTTATCAGTTTATGTGTCTAGGAATATTAAAGCAAACAATTAAAGATTTATTGGTTAAAATAACTATTAACTTTGTGATGAAATTCACTTTAGAATATGTGTGTTTGAGAAAAAGATTTTTGGCATTTCACATAGAAAAATAACAGTTTTTATTTTTATAATTCTCCTCTGAGCTAAATATATTAAAAACCAACCAATAAGACTATTGTTGTGATCTTTAATTGTTAAAGCATAAAGATTCCTACTTATTATTATATTATATATCTCAAATTTAAAACAAAATTGAATCAAAACTTTTTGTTTTTAGCAGTATATAAATATATTTTAAAAAATAACTATCCAGAAAGTTTCAAAATTTTCTGATTGATAATGGATGAAAGCTAACATTTTAAATATACACTTGGCAAAAAAAAGTTATTAAACTTTGCTGTTCATTAAGTAAAACTTTTTTTTTTTAAGATTTATTTATTTATTCATACAGAACTGGGGTACAGGCCAGAGATGCGGAGGGTGAGAAGATTCACCGGAGACAGAGTGGGGAGCAGAACAGGCAGACAGACGAAGCACACTGCTGAGGGGAGCAGCGGGTGGGTCAGGAGAGGTCTGCCTCCTGTGGATCTCCTCCCGGGCAGGCGGGGATCGAACTCATGCAGAAGTGGCTTTAGCTTCTTTGTTCTGTGCTTTAACCCGCTTTGCCACCAGGGAGGGCCCAAGTAAAACTTTTTTTAACATTTGTTTTTTTTTCTGATTTTGTGTGGTAATGTGTAAGATCCTAATTGTTTAAAAATGTTTATTTTTACATCCCAGTTTTCTTTGTTTATGTAAGTATAAAGGTATTTTTGTTGTTGTTTTGTTAATTTAGTAACCATTTGAAGGAACCGAGTATACCTTGAAAGGATGTGTTAAAACTTGCTTTAAGAAATGATGAGCCAGGCCCGCCCTTGTGGTGCAGCGAGTTAAAGCATTGCACTGAGAAGCTTAAGCCACTTCCCCATGAGTTCGATTCCCGCCTGCCCCGGAGGAGATCCACATGGCGCAGCAGACCTCTCCTGACCCGCCGGGTGCTCCCCTCAACACTGTACTTCGTGGATCTGCCTGTTCTGCTCCCCACTCTGTCCCTGGTGAATCCTCTCACCGTCCCTGCACCTCTGGCCTGTACCCCAGTTCTGTAATGCATAAATAAATAAATCTTTAAAAAAAAAAAAAAGAAATGGTGAGCCAGACACCTTTTAGGAAATGTGTATTGCTACATGAAGCCCTTTTACATGCTAGTGTATTTTGTTTTTCGTGTCAGCACTATAGACTTAAGCACTTTTCAAACTATAAGATTATACAAATTTTTTACTGATTTTTTTTTTAAACCAGTGTCTTTGTTAGAACATGAAACTGTATGGGCCAAATGCATGATTTGGTTTTACTACGGGCCATTTAACTTTCATATTTTCTGAGACCGTATTTCTTGAACATGTAGAATGAAGTGTAATTTATTACTTATGATGGAAAAAGAAAATGTATGACCTATTAATTGTAAGCTAAGGCTGTTTTTTCCCTATCATGAATACATTGTCATCATGCTAGGTAGTCTGGAAAAATGAATGTCTCTGAAACTATGATACAACTTTCATACTTTTTGCTAACATTACATAGGGAGTTTTCAGAAACTACTGGCAATAAAAGTTACATCTGAGCAGTGTAATATGTGCAGTTAGGATGTAGTAAGTAATGGGATTGTTCTCAAATAGTTATCCCATTTGAGTCAGTGCAATCTAGATAGTTGTTGGATAGCCTGGGGAAAGACTGCTACACTCTACTTATTCCAAGAGTACTGTATCCTAACAGAACACAAGCCTTCAAAAGTGTCCCCCTGAAGATGTCAGTTCTGCTTTAAATTTAGTCTGAGTAATTGCTAGCTGAAAGTCAGTTGTTTCTAACTTCATGTTCTAAACTAATAGGAGTTTGCTTAATTAATAACGGGAATATCTGAGCTGTTGTCCATAAGAGAAATCACAAATTTCCCAGGTGCAGCCTGTGCAAATTAACATGAAAATAGAGATGTCAGGTAGGGAGGTGGTTGTTAGATGACAACCAAAATTATACACTAACCTTGCATTGACAGTGATTCCCTTGTACTGATCAGAAATTTCTGCCCAATAAAAATGAGAGATAATTATTAATATGTGAAGTTTGAAAAAAAGTCTTTCAGATCATGCAATACGGGAGTTATTGGTGATTTAGGGAAAAAAGAAAACCATCATTGCTAAGTAAAATTTGAAAATCTTAGGCATTATGATTATACTTTGTTCTAAAAATTAAAAGGCTTGGTAAAAAAAATTAACAGAGTTCTTTACATAAAATTTCTAATTAAACAAATATTTTTCCTACTATTATCTTTATGAGGGTGTGTTAAGAAGAATGTTATTTTTTCTTATTTGTGTTTAGTCCTGACTGTCCGAGGTCATAAAAGTTATACTGTATTTAGTTTGTAGTAGTGGAATAATTTTCTTCCCTTAAGACTTGAACCACAAATAATTTTGTGTAAAAATGAAAACTAATTTCTCTTAACAGCTGTGACATCTTATGAAGATCTTGGACTGTTTGCATTTGGATTGCCTGGAAAGGTAAATTCTTCCTTGCCGTGTCCAAAACCCAAAGGCATTTTTTCCCATCTGTTTCCAGTTAAAGGAGACAAGTATATATAAGAAAAAGAAATTAGATGAGTAAAAGGATACTAGAGTGTAGAAAGACAATGATGGGAGCATGAAGGGCAAGAAAAGTCCCTCTATTCCTTCCTACAAAAGCAAAATAAGTTTAATTCAGCACCTAGTTATTTTAGAGTATTTCACCTTTAATGAAAGACAGTGATGCTTTCAAAATAGTACGACTTTTCTGTTTTAAGTTTTCCTTATTCATTTTGTCTATATTTCCTAAGTCCTTACAGAGACAGAAGAAAAGCATAGAATTCAAATTATGATACGAATATTTAAAAAAACTGACACTTGGATCATATCACTTAAGTGCTAAATAGTGCTAAGAGGTTATAATTGAGCAATCCCTTCATTTATAGGTGAAGGAACTTAAAACCCATAGAAATGGAAGGACCTATTTGTACAGAGTTATATAAAACCAGTATTACATCTTAGGACTCCTGGTCGTAAATCTGCTTTTCCTCCTCAGAGTAAGAGAGACAACAATAGTATTTATTGGTTAATCACTTGTAATAGGCATATTAAATTAATTTAACAGGTAGGGGAAACATGTCTTTTATAGATAATCAGGAATTAAATATTATTAGTATTGTGGTATTTATTTCTAAGTATACTTATAGCCATTTTTATCTAGTCTCCAAAGGGACTTTTCTTTTGTAAATCTGTTTCTGTTTTGCTTGTTTACTTTGTTTTTAATCTAAAAGGATACTGTATTCCTAGATGGCTAAGCTAAATTCTAAGGTAGCAGTGAGTCTGGGAGGAAAAGAAGAAACTTAATGGGGAGAGGGAAAACTATTTACATTAACTTTGTTTTTAGTGGACTAATGGAGTTACTTACACTACACTGTGTAGCCTCATAGTTGGGAACTTAATAAATTGAAATTTGAACAAAATGTAGAATATCTTATTTAAGGATAAATTGTTTTGTTAATCATCTCTGGAAGCAATTCTCTTTCCTAAAGATCAGGATGTTTGGAACAATCATGATCAATGCTATACATTCACAAGGAAGAGAAATATTATTTGTATAAGAAAAATTTCCAATTAACTTAATTGAAAATTAAACTGAGTTTTAGGATCATCATTTTCATCTCTACTATTCATAGTATCACCTGCATTCCTAAAAGAAGATCTTGGATGGTTGAATATCCTTTAGATAAAGCTCTAGAGTAGTTGCATTATTATTTTAAGATATGTACCCTATTTTTAGTAGGTAGGTACAGAGCAGAAGGTAAACTAAACAAGGGGTTGTTTTGTTGTTTGCTTTTTTTTTTTTTTCTCCCTGTTTACAGTTGGGTTGAAATTTCAGTTTTCTCCTTTCTAGATATGATAGAGATATATTATAATAGATAGCCTTGTTATGAAAATTGAAGAAGTAGTCTTGAAATACTTTTAACTTTTAAGGAAGATTTTTTAAATTGTCTATGGATTAATTTATTTACTCAGCTGAAGACATAAATAGATAAAAGACTGATTTTCTGGATCTTAATTTCTTATATTTATCCCACAAGTGGAAAGATAATTATAATTAAGTTCTTTCCACAGCATATTAATAGAAAAGACCCAAAATTCATATTTGGCAACAGATAGCAAGTAAATATGAAAGATAGTATACAAAAGTTCAAAATTATATTTTCACAAATAACCATAATACTTGGGCACTGATTTTTTAGGTGGGTTGTTATGCAAAGGTTTTTTTTTTTTCCTGGGAAATGTTAAGATAACAAAACCACATTTGCATAAGCATCTTGCTATATTTTCCATCTTCATCCCAACCCTGCAGACCCTAAAGCGATTAGGTCCCCAGAACTTAGGTTATTTCCAGTATAGATAAATGCTGTGTCACTAATGAAATTCCTGGTAGAGATGGGTCTGAAGGGTGATCTGTTCCCAATCCATGCAGGCCTGAATGGTCCTCAGTAGCTAGTTAGCATCAAACATACATTAGGGATATAGATCCGCCAAGATTTGAGTGATCAAAAGACCAAAGTGGAAGCAGAATGTTTAATCATTTCCTCTGAGTACATCTGATAACCAACAGTGGATAAAAGATCACAAGCCAGCAAGCCTGCAGACTGAATTTAGTCATCAGGCATATTTTGCTTCATTTATATCTTTAAATATTAAACTGATTATGAAATTTTGGAAGAATTGTATTTCTGATTTTTTCTGATAATCAGAAGGTGTGGCTCATATGGATCATGTTCGCATACACCACCATCTGATTTGGACTGAGTAGCAGCTTCCCCATTTTGAAGGGGAGGAGTTTCCCTGTACACTAGTCTTTACTGCCTCCCATTGTCATTTACCAACTTTAAGTTGGAAACATTTTGCTTAAAGTTCCGGATATGAGAATATTAGGGCTCTAGAATTTTCTGCTAAAGACTTTTCTAGTCATTGGAACAAGGATGTCTGGAGGCTTGGTGTATTCTACCCTGATATACTCAAAAGACCGTATAATTTCCATGTATGCAATACAGCATGGGCACAATACATCTCAAGCTGTCTCAGTCTACCTACAGTGTGGTAAAAACAGTAAAAAATGAAGAATTTGAGACCAGGGAGATTCAATTTTAGTTTTTTGTACTTTGATAATCACTGATTACTAGCTTTTTAACACTCTTCACTGTTTAAAAATGACTGCCAAGAAAACTTTCAAAAGTGTTCTTTACAGTAACCATGGAACTATTAAAGAAAGGTTTTTTATGTGATGATTATTAGTTTTATGTATTACAAATGGCTGGCAGGCTTTCCAATTTTTCTTCACTCAACTTCTGCATCTGTTTTTTAGTAGTAGTTATTGGATTTTAATAAAATACTGGTTCTTTTATATTATTTCCCCTTTCATCATCTGAATACATTTGTTCTTTTATAGGTGGTGGTGGCAGGCACCATAGTAATTCAGAATATTGGAGGTAAGCATTGAAAGTACGCTGCCTGTGTATAGATGTGATAGAAATGATCTCCTCCTTTGCTTTCTTGCCACACCACAGGCCTAGTTAAAAACCTGAACTTTTTAGACATAGGTATCTTCAGAAATCCTTTAGATCCAATCAATTCTAAATTTTGTTCTAACTAAACCATTGATTTCAATTTTGTTAGTAGGTCTGTAACACACTTATGAAATACTGGCTTTCTATATTTACAACAGGGTTAGATATTTTGGAAAAACCCCTTCCAGTAATTCTAAACAATTCCCCTCTACTTTTGCTCTGATCAGCCCCTTTGGTGGGTAGTACTTTGGATGGAGTAATATCCTGGGAACTGTAAGCAATCAGGTGCAAACATGCAATGTCTGCTTATAACCAAAAAGTTAAAAATAACCAAGTGGTTTAATTTTAAGCAAACTGAAGACAAGATGCATTTTCAATTCTTTTCTTTTATCTTGTTACCTTTGAAAAATGATCCTAATATTGAAATCATCCAGAAACAAAAATTACAGTTTAGTTATTGACTAAATATATTTAACATTTAAATCCAAAATATGGGAATCATGTTTGTATGTATTATAAAGTTACATAGTTCTGAATATGTCTTAATTTTCTTTTGCCATTAATTTGAGTGCTACATAAATGCTGTTAAAGGAAAATACACAGAGAAAGTTGACTCTTACACAAAACTGTATGGTCAGAATAAATTTTAATCTCATTTTTCATATGAACAGATCAAAATTTAAAGGTGACATATTGAAGTTCAATTCTGATACTTAAGAGATTTGAGCAATTTTACTCAAAGTATTGTGAAACAAATTCCAGTAGTGTTTCTTGGTCAAAAATTAACATTCCTACAATAAGTTGTACTTGCCATTGTTTTGCAAATCTGAGCATTCATGTTTTGTTTGAATTTGCATAGGAAAAATATACTGTTGAATGAGAAGAATTCTGTCTTGGATGCCATACCAAAGAGTTTCTTAATACACAAACACTCTTCACTCTAACACTTTACTTTTCAGACTAAAAGCCAGAAAAATCAGTCTCTTACTTCATGACTCTATATAATGTCACTGACTTTAAGCTCTGCTTTAGAATAATTTATTTTATTTTAGCAAATGTGTATTGCATCACTGTAGACTAGTAATGCTTCTTATGTGGATGTATATGTTGATATTTTCAATCCCTCATTATTCTTTCAATATGGGTATGAAGGGACCATCACATTTTATTAGAATAGGTTGAGCTATTTAGTACTTTATGTAGACTTTTCAGTTTACTTTCACAAATTTTGATCTAAATTTGCGACCTGCTCATAATCTCTACTGTTGTATTCTCTGTATTGTTCACCCAGATTCCTTCCTTGTTCTTTAATCTTATAATTATTACTGCACATGATTCTGTTTTGATACATGCTGTTATTAGATTGATATTATTTCTGTATGTGCTTTTCTCCCCCACTACATTATAAGCGCCTCCATATTTTGCTCTACTCTCTGCATCTGGCACAATACTTTGGACTTGTCAGAATGTTATAGAAAGAATTCCTGCATTCAGCTGTACATAGATAAATTATTTAAATTTGTTAATTTGCTTACTTGTTTGTTTTATAATTTTTCCTTAAAAAGTAACTTAGAACTATTCATAACATATTTCAGTATCTAATTCAGAAAAGCTGTTGGTACTTACTAAGATTTTAGAATAATGATCTCCTGAATTTCTTTACATTGGTTTAAAGTTTATATATTGATCACTCACTAAGTAATAACGGAAACATCATCACATTTTTTTCTTGGTTGTGCATCAGTCATTCCTATTATAATAGAAATAAAGTTTGTTTTTATAAGTAGAACAGTAGGTTGGAAGCCAGGTACCTAGTGGGTCAGGAGAGGCCTGCCAGGCCATTTGGGTCACCTCCCAGGCTGGGATCAAACTCATGCTGAAATGGCATTAGCTTCTTAGTGTTGTGCTTTAACCTACCAGGGAGGGCCCCACGTACCTAGAATTCTATCTTACCCGAGTCTTAGCCACTGAGTAGCCATGCATTTTGGGGAAGTCTCTCACCTAGTCTCTTGTCTTCAGTTTCCTTTTTTGTTAAATTGTGAGGAGTAGGATGTGAACAGGGATCTTAAGATCCTGTCATTTTCCAAAATTCAAATATTGTTAAGGCACTTTGGGAAGCATGTTAATTCTTTCAGACAGAGTATTTTTGTTGTAGTAATGTTCAATAGGAGGGTTAAAAGATGATTTTACTTGATTTAAAAGATGATTTGATCTTTCCTTAGGTATCTTTAACAAACCAGAAACTGTTGCTTTAATAGCTTTCAGAGTCAGCTGCTCTTAGTCAGAAATATCAACTCTCAATTTTTAAAACTCTCACTGTCTCTTTATGACAGTCTGAGCCTCTGAATGACTACCATAGAGTAAGAAATATCTATCTTAGGAAAAAGGAAGGGATTGAAGGAGAGGCAGGTGAGTTGGTACTCTTGTAGGAAGACAGAGATGATCAACTGGGAAGAGAAGGCTTCATAGAATATACAAATAAGCATGTAGTTTCTTTAAGAAAGAATCCGTGTCACAAAATTTACCCCCAAGATCAGTCAGGTGCTGTTAGTCAGGGGACACTAATTGTGGTCTAGTCAATCTCTGAACTTTATAATAGAAAAATATGAACTTGCTAAATGTAGTACTCTTATTCTAAGATTATGGAAACTTTGGATAATGAAGAGTCATATAGTAAAAGACTGCTTAAAAACAATTCCTGAATTGTTTTTGGGGGCTGAAATAGGCTGATGCAGAGGTAACCCTCAGTTGCCCATTTCCTCAGAAGTTAAGAGTGGGATTTGCTGATATTCATTGCTGCTGGGACACAAAGTCAGAAGAGAAGTATCTGGAAGTTTTAACATTTCATGCTGTTTCAGGCAAGAGAAATCTGATTGAGAGAGTTTGAGTTTGGTGGGCTGCAACTAAAATGATTAACTGTAATAACAAATAAGTATAGATGGTTTTCACATAATTCCTCTCACTGTATTGCATGATATTTTTTCTAAATTTCACAGTAAGAACTTAGTTTCATATTCACTATAGTCTTTCGACAAAAATATCCCCAGAAATCATTCACTAACCTCCAAGTCATTGTTGGTCAGGCCAGAGGAAGTCCTATTAACTCTTACAAGTATATGATGAAAGTGAAATTAATTGGTGTTATTTCTAGTTTCAAATCTTGCCCAGCTCAAACATGGAAAAGCATGTGGCTTCTAGGAGTATGTGAAGTTCTTATTTTGCTGTTTTAACACATGACAGATCTCTAAGATTACATATTCATTCTTCAATTAAAGATCGAATCACTGCTACATATTGTGAAAGAAGAATCACAAACATTTAGTAGTGTTACTGAAGCCTATTGAAATTATTAGAATAACCCAGATTTTTCAGTATGTCAAACCTTACCTAATTTTTATTATCACCTCAGTTTGGGAATGTAAGTTTTAAGAGAAACTCAGCAACATGCTTATATGTTCAGACAACATTGTTTGAAATCTCATAAAATATATGTAAAATAATTTTGTTGATAATTATACATATTTAAAATTGTCAGTATTTTTTTACATTCATGATTTAATATTAGGTAAGTCAGAAACTAATTGGTTTTACTTCCTGTGATTTTTTTTGTAGACTAGCGAAATCTTCTAGAAATACTGTTTGTGTTGTCACTAAGAAACGGGTTGGGCGTGCTGTTATAGCGCCATCTGCTGCTTGGTTCATCTGTAGTCAAACTGCGTCTTTTTTGAGTTACAACAGTATTATCCAGAAATTCTAGAAAGCACTGCTTTAGAATAGAAGTATAGAAAATTTAGAAGGAGAGACTTTTTTTTAATGAGTAATATATCTTTTTTAAAAACAGTTTATTTTTACGTCATTTTGTACTTTTTTTTTATCTCAATTATAATCCACGTGGGTTTCCCATCACTGAGTCACAGGAGAGACTTTTTTTTGTGATAAAATTTATCAATAACACGTATTTTTTTAAAGTGATATCACTTTTTTTTTTACATTATTTTGTGCATTTCCCCATCTCAGTTGTAGTCCCCATGGGCTTCCCATCACCAAATCACCCATGTGCCATCACTATAGTCCAATGCACTTCCCTCCCCCTACTGTTTTTGATCCCATTCCCCAATCCACCGCCATAAAATGTCTCTGGCATATAGCTGTTCATTATTATTATTATTATTTTCTCGCCTGGTCTGTTATATTCCTGCTATGAGTGAAACCATCCAGTATTTTTCCTTTTCTTTCTGGCTTATTTCACTAAGCATGATCTTTTCCAGCTCCATTCATATTGCTGCAAAAGGCATGTGTTTATCTTTTTTGGTTGCCAAGTAATATTCCATTGTGTATATGTACCACATCTTTTTAATCCAGTCATCCACTTTTGGGCATTTGGGCTGTTTCCATGTCTTTCCCACTATAAATAAAGCAGCAGTAAACATGGGGGTGCAGGTATCTTTTTGAATGAAAGTAACATGTACTTTTAAAAATATTTTGAAAATAATGTATTCTTTAGGAATCATTTTGATAGAAGAGTGAATTTTCTGATCACTTTATTAAAATGTAAGGTGTTGGTAATGATAAAAACAAAGATATATTTTTCTAGATTTATGGAAGAACTCTACCTCTCCCCATATATTTAATTTTAATTTTGTATATATTAGAGAAATAACATTGTTTTTGAGGTTTGGAAAAAAGTAGTCCTTTTTTAAAAGGAAAGATAGTATGTCATGTACAAATTTGGGGATAGACTTTCAATGGCATTTGGACATTTAGTAGGAGCACAGGTTAGTAAGACATTGACTTACTAAACTAGTTGGCATCCAAGCATGTTTGAAATAAAATTGAATCTATTGAGTGGGTAACAATTATTTTCTCTCCTAGTACATCAGTTTGTGTTGGGCTGACTGACTAATCCTTTACGAAGTTGCTGAAAACCTAATTCTGTTTCAAAAATAGCTGTATGTAATCTTATCTTCATCTATGTATTTTAAGTGTTTAATGAAAATAATTACTAATTTTGTAAAGTAACGCTCTTTAGGCCCAGACTCCAAATGAGGGTTTGTCTTTTTTTTTTAAATGGAGTCGTGGGAAACATAGTTCATAAGAGTATAGGGTTTGTGGGGAACAATCCGTTTCTGTTTTTGTTTTAGATTGCAGTATAGTGTTAATATCTCACCTGTGTGAGAATAGGAAAGTTTCTTTTCTGAAATAAAATCATAGCTGTTATGCATGTAGTAGGTGTGGGAGAGTGTGATTATGCAACTCTTCAGCTTGTCTGAGGAATCTTGGACTAGTCACTTCACTACTACAGCTACAAACCTGAAATGAAATATACTGAAAATACATCTCAAAGTGAAGTGAATATTCTGTGTTCTTAAACCTTCTAACTAACATTTCATGTCACAGAGTCTGTTCTCTTTAAACTGACCTGTTAACATACAGAAACAACTTGTTTAAATGCTGACGAAGAAAGAATAACTCTGGGGAGTGGTACTTTTGATAGATTTTTCTTTGCTGTGGCAGATTTCTTCTTCACGCTGTACGTTCCCATAGTATTATACAGTCAGTAGTGCAATTTTCTTAAGCAAGTTACTTCTTCATGCTTCCATCTTAATTTGTGAAATAAAACCTCCATAGGCTTCTGGTGAAGGTTGAATGAAGAAATGGCTTGCAAATTATGTAGGATACTGTGAAGTATATAATAGGTAGGTATCCAAAAACCAAAAGTGTTTGCTAGCCAGTCGGTTCTTTTTCCCAGAGTCCTTTTTCCTTTTCTCTGTTTCTGACATCTCTCCCCTTGCCCTTCATGCAGTCAACTCATGTGTTTCTCTTTATGATTAGATCAACCAATATTAAGACCTTACTATTACCTAATCAAATTTTACCCTATTTTAGTGATTTCTTAATATATTGGTTGCTTTTTCACATGGTTCTAAAAGAAAACTTTTAACTTTTGTGTCTTGGCTAAATTGACAGATATTTTAATTTCCTTCCCAGGGCAGCTTCCATTAAATGAGTTATATTAGTTGTGTTTAAAAAGAGGGAGGAAAGAATACCTATTTAGTTAATGTGGTGAAACTAAATGATTTGTAATGGCTGAAAACCTGTCATCAAGGTATGTCTTCTAGCACTAATTCTGACTTTGGTGGTGTGGAGGCCAGAACCACTTAACTATAACCATGGCTCTTATGGATGATGCTGTTACAGCTACTAATTTAGAGTACAACATGGTATGTCTTGTATTAGGAGTCTGTGCTATGTATTGATGTCAGCAAAAATCATTTACAAATTCTTCCTTATGACCTGTCTCTAATACAAGTTTTTAAACACTTCCTTATGCCATTAATAGAAGACATGAGACAAAAGGTGTGGCAGACAGCTATTTGATATAGTGAACCTTTTGGTTATAAGCAATGGATATCTGAGTTTTCCTATTGATAATAAATATTTAAAACTTCCCAGTTTATTTTATTGAATTGATGATTCTCTTTATGTATGTGTATTTGGTAGTCCTTTTCATTTTACTTCTTTATTATATATAATGTGCTAGTCCTTACATGAAGGTCTAATTGCATGTGATTAAGAAAAAATAGTTTATAGACAGTGAACAGGATAGTATCCTTCTTTGTTTTACTTAATCAGTGGAAGTTTTTTTGTGGTTTTGTAGCTCTTAAGGCAAGCACCAGCACTCTCTAAGAAAGAAGTATTTTGCATGTTTTATTATGTTTATGTCATGTATACTGAGATCTTTTTTGAGAGAAACATATGTTTAGTGAGGTCGAATTTCTTGAAATATACATGATTCTTCAGACTGGAATCTCATGAAATAGGATTCCCATTTAAAAACCAAAGAGTTAAGGCAACAACAGAGGATAAAAGCGATCAAATGATTAGCCAGGGGCTAATAGAAATTCTGGGAAGAATGACAGATTGTATATTAGAAAGAAATATGATCTCATATTCATTGAAGCTTTTTACAACTAAAGATCTAAAAGAAATAATAGAAAATTACTGAAAGAGATGAATGTCTGAAACTTTAGAAATGCATGTGGTGTTGGATTAATCCAAGCAAAAAGACTGATGGGCAGATAATAAATTGCATTGTGTGGGAAGTCTGCATTCCTTGTTTTCAAGGTACTTTATCCCTGTGAGATATATTTAAGTAGCCCTAGGCTAGTTTCAGAAAAATTGATTCATGATTTTCATCGTCATTCCATATGTGGATGCTTCTTTGGAATAGATAAAGTATTATAAACAAAGACGCCAAATCTTTGGGGGGGGGTTTAATCCAGAACTTTCCTTTTGTCCTCAAATGATTTAATTTTTTTCTTAGGAGTGTATGAGCAAGATACAGCACCTTTCACAAAGAGCCAATTTTAATGCCTCATAGCTAAAAGAGTTTGCAGAAATGCACTCTTACTTCTGTTGGAGAAAAAGCTCTACTTTAACAGCTGCACTTCTGCAAGGGAAAAAGAAATAGTCATAAACTGGAAAATGTGCACATGTATGTTTTTGTTACAGAGTAGTGATTATTTAACTGTTCTAAATTTTGCTTTGCCTTAGGCACATGTTATTTTACTAAAAATGTTGAGATTGTGTCTGTATGTATTGTCATCTTCTTATAAATTTACACAAACACCTAGTATTTATCCTTTTTATTCACTAGAGTTAAGTTGTCCCAGAGCACTATAATAATTGTGAAGAAGTTCAACTACTTTTAAATATGTTGATTAAGAATGTACGTTCTTCTTCCCAAATTATTTGAAACTTTTTACCAGTTTTCCTCAGATTTTTGCCCTTCAGACTTGACATTCATTTGTGTACTGTTTGTAAATCAAAGGAAAATGTGAAATTTTTCCTAAAATATAAATAAGTAATAAAATTAGCATGTACATAGTATACTTTTTATTCTTCATGCACATACTGTTATTGGCTCTTGGTAATCTCTCTTGTTGGGGTTGAGAGATTATTACTCTGTTAAACTGAAGTTCTCACTCAATCATCTGGGTTTCTATATACTTAAGTATTTGATCTTAAAGTCAATTATTTACAAATGAATGAGTTCTGTATTTTGGAACCACATGAAAACACTTGCTAGAATATGATGGTTTATAAGATTTTTTTCTAATAACTACATTATACATGTATTAAAATGCTATAAAAGCTATCTATCTTAGGTCTTGTCAGATAAAATGTGAGAAATAATACTAATTTCAGATTTTGATTGTATAATACAGAGCCTTGCAAATAAAATGGGGAAAAAATGTAAGTTTTGGCTCTATAATCTTAGTACCTTCCATTGAGTCTTTTTTTTTTTTTAAAGATTTATTTATTTGTACATACAGAACTGGGGTACAGGCCAAAGATGCAGGGACTGTGAGCAGATTCACCAGAGACAGAGTGGGGAGCAGAACAGGCAGACCAGTGAAGTGCGCTGATGAGGGGAGCAGTGATTGAGACAGGAGAGATCTGCTGTGCCATGTGGGTCACCTCCGGGGTGGCAGGATAGAACTGGCACAGAGGTGGCTGCAGCTAGCTTGCTGGGCTGTGCTTTAACCCACTGCACCACCAGGAAGGGCCCTCCATTGAATCTTTTGTAGTCTATTTTCAAGGACAGTATTTTAGAGGATAATTTTAAATAACTTAATGTGCATTCTGTTTTTGTTTTATAATAATATAAGTCTATAATGTTGGGCTGGAAGTGGAGGAGTAGCAGAGAAAAAAAGAGACTTTTAGATCTATATGGGCAGGTCTTTAGTAATAAGGAACAATTTTTTTAAAAGATTTATTTATTGATTCATACAGAACTGGGGGTACAGGCCAGAGATGCGGAGGGTGAGAGGATTCAACAGGGACAGAGTGGGGAGCAGAACAGGCAGATCTACGAAGTACACTGCTGAGGGGAGCAGCGGGCGGGTCAGGAGAGGTCTGCCACGCCATGTGGATCTCCTCCGGGCAGGCGGGGATCTAACTCATGAGGAAGTGGCTTAAGCTTCTTAGTGCAGTGCTTTAACCAGCTGCGCCACCAGGGAGGGGCCCCCCAACATTTTTTTTTAAAGATTTGTTTATTCATACAGAACTGGGGTACAAGCCAGAGATGCAGAGGGTGAAAGGATTCACCAGAGACAGAGCAGGGAGCAGTACAGGCAGATCGCCGAAGTACACTGCTGAGGGGAGCAGCGGCGGGTCAGGAGAGGTCTGCCACGCCATGTGGTCTCCTCCGGGGCAGGCGGGGATCGAACTCATGCGGAAGTGGCTTTAGCCTCTCAGTGCTGTGCTTTAACAGGCTGCGCCACCAGGGAGGGCCAGAAATAAAATTTTAAGCTATATTTATTAAAGTTCTGTTTCAGTATTAATTGTTGCTGCAGTCTAATACCTTGGAAAGTGTGATAACACGAGTTTTTGCAAAAAAAAATTAAAAAATTAAAATTTCACTCATAAATTGCCTATGATCAAGTTCCTTTCTTATCCATTGATAGTTTGCCTTGTACTTGAAATATAAATGAAGCATACTTAATAACCTACCGATCATTCCACTCTGCAGGGTTTATCTCTATTCCCTATAAAGATGTGACTGTAAAAAGAGTGCAGTATGAGTTAATTTTCCCCACATTGTCATAGGCTGGTGGACACCTGTGTTTCTGAATGGAGTATTCTTTAAACAGTTAAAATTTATGGAATTCTGATAGTTTTTTTTTTTTAATTTTCTTGCAGCTATGTCTTCTTATCTTTTCATTATTAAAACAGAACTCCCTGCTGCTATTTCAGAATTTTTATCTGGAGACCATAGTGGGTAAGAAAAAATTTTCACTTTGTGTCTATTCACTTCTTAATTTGATATTTATTAAATTCCAGTGGGAAATAAAATAAATATTACCCCTGTCTTCAGGACACTTGAAGATTAGGGGTAAAATAAATATTACCTCTGTCTTCAAAACACTTGAAGATTAGGCTGGGCATAGTAGTCATAGATAATAAAACTCTCAGCAGACATTTGTTGATCTGTTATGTACAAAGAATTGTGTTGTGAACCATCTGAAGTATTAGGTATGCCCTTACATTCTGCAGGGTAAAATAGGACAGGACAGGTATGAATTAACTCTTGGAAAAGAGTAGTGGAGAAACTTCTGGCAATATGAAAAGTTAAGGTAGGGGGAGGGGTAGAGGCTGAAAGCACTGATAATAAAGGTCTTACTAAACAGAAGAGGCCAGTGTATAATTTTGCTGTCACTTCTCAGCAAACCATAGTGATAAAGTAAGTCATAGTGATAAAGTTATAACTGTCTTTATGTGACATTTCTAATATAAAGCATGATTAAAAAAATCATTTGCAGGAGCTTAATTGTTTAATTTCCTATTTTTTAATGATATTGTAAATAATACTAAACCACAGTATACCTCCTTTCTCCTTATTTTAAAAACACTGGGTTTTAAAGGCTATTTATTCATCTTTTTTTTTAAAAAGGTTTATTTATTTGTGCATACAGAACTGGGGTACAGGCCAGAGGCTCAGGGGCTGCGAAAGGCTTTACCATAGACAGAGTGGGGAGCAGAACAGGCAGATCGAGGAAGTACACTGCTGAGGGGAGCAGCCGGTGGGTCAGGAGATGTCTGCCACGCCATGTGGATCTCCTCTAGGGCAGGCAGGGATCGAACTCATGCGGAAGTGACTTAAGCTTCTTAGTGCTGTGCTTTAACCCGCTGCGCCACCAGGGAGGGCCTATTCATCTTTTAGTGGGAAAAATTAATTTTATTTTTCCTTTAACTATATGGGACAAGAAATTCTGAGAAAAAAAAATAACTTTAAAAGGCAGAAGAAATCCATTTAATATCTTTAATGATAGTTCACTATATTTTCTTTAGTATAACATAAAACCTGTCAGACTTTAGACTTTCATATTAGGTTGTATTTTTACAGAATTTGAACTTATTCTGGATTGCGGGCAGTGTTCCAAATCTAGTTTGCAGAGTGTACACTTGGCTTTCATTAAAGAATTCTACTCTGACAACAGCAAATGTGTATTTGTAAGGGAAGTATAATATACCTTAGGTCAACTAGGAACCATCAAGCAATGTGGGTGAATAAAAAAGAAGGTAGGTAGATGTCTTTAGAATTGTTCATCATCAGAAGATATTGTGCTTTTTTTTTTAACAACATTCTTTACAGTTTATAAGATTTCCACATTTGTTACCACACTTCTTGTTTACATTACCTTGGCTTATCTACTTTTAAGTTTATGCTGTTAGTAAATGATTGCTGTAAGAAACAGTTCAATAAAAATCACTTTTGCATTTGCTGTAAAACGTTCAAGAACAAACTTCTGTTTCTCAAAAAAATCCTATGTGATAAATTTCTTTTGTAACTTGGGGTTAAGAATTGAAGTCAGTATGAAGTGGGATAAGGAATGTTAGACTCAGAGTAAGGAAATGTGAGTTCTATCCATTTCATATTCAGTAAGTCAGAAAAGAATTGGTCTTCCTCTGGCAATACAGTTTGAGCTGTAGGTTCTTCACCTAATAGGAGTACCAGTGGTTCCTCATTATCAAAGTTATTGGGATGAGTAAGTAAGATATTGTACAGATACATGTTTTTATATGCTTATAGTGTAAATGTGAAGAATTAAAAAATTCCAGTAATAATTACTTTATTGAAGGTGGTTTTCTTCCTTTTTACTCTGTCAAGAAGGTCAGAGTTAAATTTGAATGTTTTACCTAAATTACATGTTAATCCTAATAGTTATCACATGTGCTTTCTGTCTTCTTGGCCTTGAAGACAACTTTTGGTCACTCCTATTTACATTTTTTTAAATTGTCATCTGTCTTTGTGAAAGAGGAGACATAAATGTACATGTAAAATTTTAGAAATAGTGAAGGTAGTATGTGATGGAACTGTTATTAAAAGTTAGGTTTTCTTCCATTAAGAGTGATATTTTCATCATAATTTTATATCAAATCAAATGTCTTGTTTTAAAAGCAAAAACAAATATTAATTAGAAAATTTATAAAAATGTTACTTTTACATGTCAGAAATGGACTTCTAGAACTGTATGTTTCAACATATTGTGGTCAGTTGGCATAATCTCTGTTATGATCTTTTAAAATTGTACATCTTTTTAACAGCCTCATCCTGTTTTAAATATAATATATTAATTTACTTTGGATTTTAAAGTTTTGAAAAACAGTAAGTGACTAATTACATTAATTAGTTAGAATACAGATAGATCACTAGTCTTTAAAACTTACTGCTGAAAAATACTAAGAAGGAAATGTCATGATAATTGTCTTAACTATCTAGGGCAATTTATTTCTAGAGTTACACAGTAATATTTCTTCTGAGATAAATAAGATATTATGTACCTTATTTTAGGGTTTGACTCACAATAAATTTTATTTAAAAATTTTCAAGTCTGCTTATTTTCTGGATTACCAGTGAGATTTGATGTACCTCTGTAAAATATTAACCTTTATAAAGATGTTGAAGAGAAACTTTATGTTTGCAGTATTTTAATTGAAAAAAATTCTATTACAAGTCAGAAGCTATAATACTTGTAGCAAAATTTTATGAGGCATCTATATTTTTCATAGAATAACTTGTATTTTTAAAATCTATGGCTGTTAAAAGTTGGAAGCTCTCTGTTAACATTTAATGATCATGTCAGGGGAATATGATTGACACAATTAAGTTGTCTTGCATTTGAGTTACATAATTGATATGGGATGTGAGTAAGATCCTAATTCAGAACATATGATACTCTTGTTCCATTCCATTCGAGAATGAAATTAAAGCAACTTATAAATAAATCTGGTTTTCATTAGAATATGGAAAAAAAACATGTGCATGCCAAAGCATTTGCAATACAGCTAAGGATTTATGCTCTATATTTCATACTTGGAACATTTTTATCATATAGGATTAAATCCACAGATCAAACAAGTTTTTTAGGAAGCATAAAACTTTAATTATTTTGTCTTTAAGAGCATGCATATTTAGATCACATAAGAAAACAGGGGTTCTGTTATGTTATCCTTTTTTATCCCCCTAAGGAAAAAACTTAAAATTAGTATATTATTTTAAAATACTAATTTATATTTATATCTGTATTTATATTTAATATGTGTTTTTTGGGGTTTCTTTTTATTGGTTTTTATTTTTCAGATTGGGGTTTTACTTTATAAATTTTATCATTTCTGTTCTTTGGAAAATATCCCTTGACAAACACAATTCAGTTGACTGTTACATGCGTATGAAGCTTACAGTGTGTTACTGTATTGCCTTTATTTTTGGTGAGTAGCAAAACACTGTATTTATAATTGGCCTTATCAATATAACTTAATAACGGAAAGAAATAAACAGCAGTCAAGCCAGAAATAGACAAATTATGTTTTACAATAAAGCTCTTTTTTATAGGAACTTAAAGTCCAATCCTGTAAAAAAGAAAGTGTAAAGAAAGCACAATCTTGAAATAAATGAGGCAGTATCTGAAAAATACCATAAACTCAGACCACTGAAGTGAGAGCGTATCCCGCTGCTTCTTCACTAGGTCACCATCATCCTTTTGCTGATTTTACAGACGTATGAAGTGAGGCTGTTGAACCAGATGATCTGTGGTGTCCCTCCTAGCTCTCACATTCCATAGCTATGATTCTGAGATATTGCTGAGAGGAGATGAAGTTATTTTCAGGCGCATGGTTCAATGCTTTGAGTAGTCAAGACTTCTATGGACATGGCTTAATTGTGATCAGAAATGCTATAGAGTTAAAAATTATGATATCAGAGTATAAGTTACAAAGTTCTGGATTTTGAAATGTTCCTTTTTTCTTAGGAAAGAGAAAGAGGCTCTCATCCTAAGCATTAACATGAGCCCTTTGCACAGCTCTGCTTCACAACAGCAGGGACAGCAGAACAGATGGAATCTACTTTGGTGCTCCTTTGGGTCTTTTTTCTCCTGGTGCTGCAACTGTTAGATCTGATATTGGATCCCAGAAGGAAGGAGATTTCAGACATAGAGCCCTGGGCTTTTTGCCAACTTCAGAAATTTAGTTGCCAGGTGTTCCTTAATGAGGGGTATTTTGAAGTTCCCCGTTTGTTTCTCATTCAAGATTGGCTAGAAGATGAACATGCTTGGTATCATTTTATATTTTTAATATGTGTGCTCTCTTAAGAGCTCCTGCATACCAGGAATAGAGGAGCATGTGTAAATGAAGAGAGCAAAGCTTTTGATCCATTAGAGCTAGAACTACTTGTGTATAGGTTGTAGTTTCTGGAACATGCAACTTCTAAAGACATAAGTTAGGATGGAGAAGAGAACCTTATGATCATGGTGCTATTTCTACTGTTGCTCCTTCTTTTGTTCTGTTAAAGAAGCTGTCAGAACCCTGTAGTACCCATTAAAATACAGTAGAGGGGACTTCCTCATGAACCAGGCTATAAAAAAGACACAATGAATCATAAAACCTTTGTCAGAGGTAGAAAGGTTGAAACTTATGTAGGAAAGCTCTTCCTTCCTTCTTCCCCCTCTCTCTTGCTCCTTCCTATATAAATGACATATATCATTGTGTAAGTTCAAGGTGTTTGAAGCATTGAATTGATAGACTTATATATTGTGCTTTGATTAGCACCCCAACACCTCCATCATAACACGTTTCTATAACAACATTTAAGATCTAGTCTCTTAGCAACTTTCAAGTATAAGTATGGTTTATTAACTATAATCACAATATTGTGCATTTTATGCCCAGAATTTATTACTCTAACTGCACATTTTTATTATTGGCTCAATATATCTCTATTATCCAAGCCCCTGATCACCATCATTCTACAAGTTCAACTTCTTTAGATTCAACATGGAATTGATCTACACTATTTGTCTTTCTTAGTCTGACTTATCACCCTTTGCAGAATGCCTCTGTTTTTGGTAGTGTCCTTATCTGATTTTGGTATTAGGGTAATGCTGTCCTTGGAAAATGAGTTTGGGGGTGTGCCTTCCTCTTAGGACTGTATAAATTCTTTTAACACTTTAGTAGAATTCATCAGTAAAACCTTCTGGTCCTGGGTTTCTCTCTGTTGGGAGGTCTTTGATTACTTATTCACTCTCCTTACTCATTGGTTTGTTCATGTTTTGTGTCTTGATTCACTCTTTAAATGTATTTTTTTCTAACATATCCTTTTTTTTTTTTTTAAAGACTTATTTATTTTTTCATACAGAACTGGGGTACAGGCCAGAGATACGGAGGGTGAGAGAGTTCACCAGGGACAGAGTGGGGAGCAGAACAGGCAGATCGACGAAGTACACTGCTGAGGGGAGCAGCGGGCAGGTCAGGAGAGGTCTGCAACGCCATGTGGATCTCCTCATGGGCAGGCGGGGATCAAACTCATGGGGAAGTGGCTTGAGCTTCTTTTGCAGTGCATTAACCCGCTGCACCACCAGGGAGGGCCTGTTTTTTAAATTTAACATGATAGTGGGAGATTTGACTACCTGATAGAGAAAAAGTACCTCTGTTGTCCTTGATGTTCCCAGTTTCCACATTAGCATGAAATTTAGTTTGTCTCTGTTGCACGTTTATGTTTTAGCGTAAAAATATGACAGCTACTTTACAAGTTTGGAAAAAAGCAAAGTTATATATGCTATTTCTTACCTAACTACTGTTATCACTTTATTTCCTTTGATTACCCCAAAAATCTTTTTTAAATTATAGTTATCATGCATTTTGTATTTCTGACTTAACATTTTCCATCTTACTAAATTGTTATTTTTTAAAAAGCTGCATAATGTCTTATTGAATATGTTGTTATTGACATAAATATTATAGGATTTCTCTCAGCTTCTTAATATTATAATACTGTTGTGTTCATATGGAATTGTTTATATTTTCATTATTTTCTTAGAATAGATTACCATACTTTTATTACTCTTGCTATATATCGTTAATGTTTTTCCAGAAGATAGTGCTAAAAGACAAGAGCACTAGCAATGTGTGAAGGGCCAGTTAAGCATCATATTTGAATATTATTTTTAAAATAATTTTACCTGCCTCATTATTTATTGCTTTAATTTGTACTACAAATTAGATTTTCTTTAGATATATTCTCTTGTACTTCTTTTGTGAATTATTTGTGCTTTATATTCTAATCTAGTCTCAGGAAGTTAACTTGAATTTTTAGATATTTCTACACATGTATGTTATACTAAAAAAAAAATTAATATACAAACAAGGAGGAAATAAAAATTGTTCCTATTGCTACCATATAGAAATAACTACTTTTAGTATTTTAAGTATTTCTTTCTTATACTTCTATGTGCATCCAATATTTAAAAAAATTAAAATATACCATCACATTTTTAATTTTCCTTTTTCATTCAATATTCTAGTATCTTTATGTGAAATATTTGGTACCCCTTCCCAATGGTAATTCATGACCTTTCCTGAAAATCTGAAAACTATAGAATTCCTTTGTCACAACATTTACAAATATATTACAGATCCTTTTCTTTTTATTAGCTCTTTCACTAATGTTGTTATCATGCCATTTATTTATGTTTATTAAGTAGTCATTTTATTACCTGTAAAATATTCTTTTTTATGATTGTCCCATATTCCCATTGTTTAAAGTTGTCATTGTTTCCAGTTTCTACTAAACATTTTTAATAAACTCGTTTTGAGTTTATATATTTGCTAATTTGTAGTTGAAAATGATATTTCATTGTTCTGATATATTTTTAAATATAAATTCATTAATAATGGTAGGATCCCACAAAAATATATTTTTTTTTAAATTTTTTTTTTATATTAAAAAGTTTATTTTAACATCATTTTTCACATTTTTTTTCATCTCAATTGTAATCCCCATGGGTTTCCCATCACCATCACCAAATCACCCCAAAAATATATTTTTACGAAAGGAAGTCAGTTTTTCCTAATGGGTGGTGTAATGATTGTTGTGTGTATTTATGTATAAACACAAACACTAGAATCCTGTGCCTAAAATAGGACTTTTTTTTCTAATAGGTCTTGGTATCTTGATGGACAAACACTACTAATTATCATTTGTGTTGTGATTGTGTTCCCTCTTGCACTTCTTCCTAAAATAGGTAAGTCTTTCTAGAAGAAGAGGTTATTTGTTTAGCAGAAGGGAAAAAAGAAAGAAATATTAAAGGGCTTTAAAACCTCATGGTACCACATTTCTAGAAGTGGTGGTTGTGAATGATTTTAAATTTGGCCTTACTTTAGAATGTTCAGCCTTCAGCCCTGCCCACTTAACCTATTACTTGGTTTGCAGTAGTATTTTGTCTGCCTCACTAAAATAAAATCTTTACAGTGGAACATTAAAGAGCAGCCTTTCCTTACAGTGTACCATTAGTGGTAAGCCAGTTCCAATTCTGCTATACAGGGCTACACAAATGATCTGTGACAGATAGTTGGAATGTTGTTATTCCCAACCCTAAGCCCCAGATACCAAGCTCTGTAATAGAAAACATGCCCAAGATGTATAGCTTTAGCTGTGTGGTAGGATCACTTTCCTAATAAATTGCTTTTTATTTTACTGTTATTTTACAGGATTTCTTGGCTACACAAGTAGTTTATCATTTTTCTTTATGGTATTCTTTGCTCTAATGGTAAGTTTAAAATATAGTGTATTGCTTATCTCCTCAACTAAATTTGAACTCATTGCATTATTTTTTCTTCTTCTTTTACTTCTGTTTTGTATTGGGAAGGTATCCCATTTTATTAAAAGCACTTTTTCTACAAAATTATTTCACTCTGTATCTATTTTGAAGAGTCTTAGCAAGAGTAGCACTTCAAATAAAATATCTTTATGGTCAACTAAAGTGGAGTGCGCACTAATTGTGTTAAAAACCTTAGATGAGTATAATACATTGTGTATGTGTGTGTAGCAGTTTATTTTTGTATAATAGTATGTATGTTATTATGTGTGTGAGGCACTCAAGCATGAGAATCAGGCTAGTTCTAATCTGTAAAATCAACTTGATTCTAGTCATCTTAATTTTAAAATGTTGTTCCATTAATGAAATCAGAGCTTCTGGGTATTAACGGTTAAGGACATCTAATAAGATTGGGCTGCCTGAATTCTGCCTGTCCTGGTTTATTTAGCACAGATAAGTTCTCATGAAAAGACTACTGCAAAGAAATATTTTCCTTCACATGTGGAATACATTTTTTTCTTACTTTAAGTTAGTTTATTTTTATTATACATAGGAAATGTATCTGTTGGATGGCAAACTTTATTTTGATATATATAAAATAATGTAATGATAAAAGAGAATTTGAACTTCTAGTATATCCTTTCAAATTCTCGAGGATTCACCAGAGACAGAGTGGGGAGAAGAACATAGAACAGGCGGACTGATGAAGTACTCTGCTGAGAGGAACAGGGGAGGAGTGGATGGATCAGTTGGAGCTCTAGCCTGCCCCTGAGGCGTGGCAGACCTCTCCTGATCCATTCGCTGCTCCCTTCAGCAGTGTCCTTTGTTGATCTTCCTGTTCTGCTCCCCACTCTGTCGCTGGTGAAGTATCTCACCACTCCTGCACCTCCGGCTTGTACTCCAGTTCTGTATAAATAAATAAATAAATCTTTAAAAAAAAATCCAAATCTTTAGAATTCCTGCATGAGGTGAAAGTGATTCTAATTTCAGTCTATAGCAATGTTTATACATTAATGGTTTTAAAACTAAATATATAAAATGTGTTCACACTTAATCATTTGTTGAATTTATTAAAGTCATCGCCTTCCCTGACAGTGTCTGAAATATCATACAATTATGAACTGCACATTTACCTTTAAAGAAAATTTTGTCTTTTTCAATTTTATTGAAGTATGATTGGCATCCTTTATTGTGTAAGTTTAAAAAGTATAGCATAATGACTTGACTTACTTACATATGTGTAAGATGATTACCATAATAAGTTCAGTTAACATCCATGAGCATGCACTTTTTAGGCTCTACATTGTAGAGGGAAGCAACAAATATTTTCATCATAAGGTGATTATTAAGAAGTATCTACATGGTTAGAAGTGGTCTACATAGGTAAATGAACCATATAGATGGTAAAGAGAATCAGTATAGATAATGCTGAATTGTTTTCCTCACAGATAATTGGCAATATATGCATTGCATAGGTAGAAGTAATTTGGTTTTTATAGTCAGTAGTTTAAAACAGGTGAGCTATATTGATATGACTATTGTATTTTTCACATTATTCACAGTATTATTTCACATGTCTATCATAGTAGATACTCTTTAATTCAATACAGATTTTTACTATAGCAGTCATATGGAAATAATATTCTTATTCAGCATTTATTATGAATGCTTTGCAAACCATATGCTCAGATTTTTACCTGTGAGCACAAGTTAAATATGTCTGCAATGGGACAATGAAGACATCCCTTTAAAAATATATATTCTTTTTTAATTGGCATATTTATCATAGATTCTCTTAAATACTAAGTTTTGAAACACAAAAGAGTTAGGGAAAGAAAACATATACATTAATCTAGAATTTTCTGAAGGATGTTAATTTTTTCAAGTGTGAATAATTTTGTCAATATGTTTGTAAAAACATACTGTAAATAAATCTATACACATATAACAAAAATTTAGTCCAGAAACTATTATTTTCTTAAGTTGCACTCTTCAAATAATTCAAATCAGAATCTATACTATTACCTGTTTTCCCAGATCCTTATTTTGCATTAAAAAATTTCGCAGAAATTTTTGATCCCAACATTTTTAAATTAAATTTTATTTTAGTAGTAGCTCAGAATGACAATAACCAGATGGATTTACCTTTTTTTTTTTCAGGAAATTTACCTCTTCTTAATCTATTTTAGAACACACATGTATTGACATTCTTTTCAAAAGTTCTGTTATGCCTAGAGACTGGTATTTTAAGTACTATTTTAATAGGTCAGTAATCAACAGGATTATTTGAATTGATTCTATTCAGAAGCTTTCCTTTTACTGAGGTCAGTGGTGGGCATGATAGAATTGTGGGAGTTTAACCTATATACTACATTTAAGGACCTGTCAACATAGTATAGAAGATAAGAGAAATTCATTGAACAAAATAGAGAACAATGTAGGCAATTCATCATTAATATGGATTTATTTGTTTCAGAATGAGAATCACAAGAGGATTCTCATGTGAAAGAAAGGAATGACTACTGAAAACTAGAGTAAAGAAAGATGTGAAAAGAAATAAAATTTGAGCTGAGACTTGGGAAGGGTTTGGAGCAGAGAGGAAGAGAAAGGTTTTTTGGTGCAAGTGAACAAATAGTTTTCATAATTACTCTTACCATTTTTTTTTCTTCAGCCTGAAATCAAGGACTCCTTGTTACATTTTGTTGTTAGCTATTCCTATTCCTGTCCTGTACTTTTGTCCTGGCCATCATCTCTGTCCATCCGGTTCTACTATGTGGGCTCAGGGTGGGCTAGGTTTCTGCAGAGAAATCTGCTATAATAACTGAGGTTTATATTAGTATAAAGTAAGGCTGCTAATGATACTTTCTAATTAAGGAAGAAGTCTTGATTATACTGCATTTTAAAGAATTGTTTTGAAATATTTAAATTTGCAAGCATGGTATTAAGAGCTGATAAAATGAGGTCACACACAAATAGAGCTTATCAAAGTACCTGGTCAAAGTAAGTGTTTCTGAAGTAGCAAACTTACTTGTCTAGCTCCTTTTCTTTTTTGGAAGAAACATCAGAAAAAAGATGGTGAGATTATTGCTTTTGATTTTTTTCTTCATGTCTTGGTGACCATTTAACTTTATTCCATATTAAAAACTTATCTAGAAATAATAAATAAATAACATTGTTTTTCTTGGTAAGGATTCCAATTAAGAGTAATTCTTTAATTCACTGATTAATTCAATGCTAAAAGTCTTGTTTTCCTTAGATTTGTTTTTTCATTATGTAGTTTTTTTTAATGTCTTAGTTAAAAATCCTAAACTAGGGCCCTCCCTGGTGGCACAACAGGTCAAAACAGCACTATGAAGTTACCACAGCCACTACAGCATGAATTCAATCCTCAGCCAGGGAGGTGACCCACATGGCACAGCAGACCTCTCCTGACCTGCTTGCTGCCCCCCTCAGCAGTGTATTTCACTACATCTGCCTGCTCTGCTCCCCACTCTGTCTCTGGTGAATCCTCTCATCCCCTACACCTCTGCCCTGTGCCCCAGTTCTGTATGCATAAATAAATAAATCTTTAAAAAAAATCCAAAACTAGATAAATGCCAAATAGGAGTGGGAATAGTTTTACTTATTGGTCTCCTACAAAAGACAGATATTTCCTTAATTTTTCCTTTGTCCCTTTGTATGCTAGATTTCAGCCTGTAGCAAACATTTACAGAGTAATTACCTGCCCAGAACAACTACAATGATAATGTTGACACAACCACAACTGTAGGTCTAGTAACAGGATGGCCAAACTTACAAGAAACCCTGCAACATTTTCATTGATTATTTCTGGGAACTAGCATCTTTGGATTTCTTTTACTATTTGTGAATTTTATTTTTTACTACCTGGACTTCCCTTACTCTTGTTCTTCACTACCTTTATCCACATTCACCAGAAGCAATTCTGAGAAAAGCAAGGAGAGTTCAGAAATCCCTGAGCTCTCCCTTTGCATCAGGTCTCTACATATTTCTGCCTGTGTCTGTTTCCAAACTTATTTATTTAGCTCTATCTGCTACCTACTCCGTGTCCAAGAAGAATAAAACCATATTCTTGTTCCCTTGTCACTGAAAGCATCATGTTCCTATTTTGAATTGCATTTGTATTTTAATACCTTGATACTTTTGGAGTCTGGACAACTGACATGGGAGTACTCTTAGTCTGTAACAGGGAAGCTCCCCACTAAACAGATATGCAGCCTTTCCTGCTTCCCCTTTCCTGCTGCCATAGGTGACCAGGTTAAATGATGTCTCATTCTGACTGGGGGAAACATGAACAAAGAATTTTCTGTAAGCTGACAACTTACTTGATATGACGTTAAATTGATTGAAATAATGCTGACATATTTGAAATCAATTTCTTGGCATGAATTTATGTTCAACTTATCCTTACAGATCGTAATTAAAAAATGGTCCATCCCTTGTCCTTTGACGTTGAATTATGTCGAGCAATACTTCCAGGTAACAGTTTATCTTTTTCAGTTTATTCCCTTTTAAGTTAAAAAGAAAAAAAATCAGACTAGCAGTTCTTTTTCAAATAAAAAAGTAATCGTTATATAGTATTTTGGAACTTTGTTTTCAAATATTTTAATTTAAAAGCTTAGTAGTAATAAAGTCATCATTTTTGTTGATGTATTCTGACCTTTAATGGCTGTTGGTTTCTCTTTTTCTCTTCAATCCTCTTAAACAGAATTCAAATGCAACAGATGATTGTAAACCAAAGCTCTTTCATTTCTCCAAAGAGGTGTGTAAGTTATTAACAGATACTTTTGGTTGATTTTTCACATTTCAAGTTTTAAGAGATTTGTGTAACAGGGTCTCTTAGGTCTTTGTACCTGTAACTAATTAATTTTCATGAAAGTGCTAAGTATAGGGTTGCCTACCAGAAGAATAATATTATTTAACACAGGGTGGCCCATTATGAAACAGCCACATTTTTTTTTTTTTTTTTTTGGCATGCCTTTAAATGGAGCCTGTTTTAAATGGGCCACTGCCTAAAAGAACAGATTTACTGAACGTCTGGTCTGGCCAATAAGGTCCTCTGTGGACACAGACTTCCTGTTGCCCTCTGGACTTGTAAAGCTAAATAGCCAATTATATCAAAACTCCTCCCCTGTGAGTAGAACCTTGGTCTGTAGCTAAATAGCTTCATCATTGGTCCAACGATTGAGAGCTGCCAATATATCTTCTGGCCGACATTCCAAAGTTGAAATTTATGATGCCTGGAGTGGAGACTCAGAGACCAAGGCCTGTTGCCTTTAGGACACTGGACTGCCCACCATAGCCCCTGAGCATTAGCAGAGGGGACAGGAACTCCCATCTGGAAAATGTGTACTTTATCTTTGAGAAGAACTCAAAAAACATCTTCTCTGTTACTCCGAATTTCTTCATCTATTCTGCTTGATGAAGAATACACTTTTTCCAGATAATGGAATCCCCACCATATGTGTGTAACTCTATTAGTGAAGCACTTTGTTTAGGTGACATAATGTCTTAAGATAACGTATTCAGTCGTCTGGAACTTCCTTTCCTGATGAGCCTAAAATTAATTAAGAGCAATCTTTTAGAGTAGAAAAGAGAAAGTAAATCATCCCCATCCATTTTATAAGGACAGGGTTTTTTTTGTTTGTTTGTTTGTTTGTTTATGGTAACTTTTGTTTGCTTTGTAATTTCCCTGGCTCATAAATATTCTTACAGAAAAAACTTAATATACTTCAACAGATTTCTAAGAATGTGTTGGTCTATTATAATGCATTATATTAATGCCCATCGAAAGAGAGCCTAGTCAAAGATGATGAGATTAATATTTCCAGTATTCCTTTGGATTGAATTGGTTCAGAGCACACAAATACTTGTTTTTTAAAGCAATGATTCATAGAAAATGAAATGAATTTAAGCTAATTGATTTTCTTTTTTGGAAGAACCGAGTTTATTATCTATTGCAGTCATGGTTTGGAATAGCATTTAACAATTTCGTCTTCTAAAATTTTTTTTCAGGGTGCTTATGCCATACCAACCATGGCTTTTTCATTCCTCTGTCATACCTCGATATTGCCCATATACTGTGAACTTCAAAGGTAATAGAGAATTTTGAAGTATTTTAAGTATGTCTTTTTATTTCTAGCACTTTCAGATTGACTTCTCTGTTATGATTTCATTCCTCTTGTCACTGGATTCTAAGTGTTAGTTTAAAACAAAACTACTAAGAGTTCATTCTGTCCAAGTTGAGACTGTTTCCCAGAAGTGTTATTTCAAATTCTAGTACTTAATTATTAATGCACTGTTTTAAATGACTGAGGAATCCTCTTGACCAACTTGGGATGCATTTATTTCTTTAAATATAATTCAGCTCACTAATTCCACTTTTGTCATTTTTGTCTTTAATTAGCCCTTCAAAGAAAAGAATGCAGAATGTAACCAACACAGCAATTGCATTAAGTTTTCTCATTTACTTTATAGCCGCACTTTTTGGGTACCTTACTTTTTATGGTGAGTATATTATTTAATTATAAAGGCCAAAACAAACTGGTGTATAGTTCATCTCACACATGAGTATGCTTTTGTTTCTGCCTTTCCTTAGTAAATTAATTTGCACAGGTGGCCAGAATTCAATGTAATGTGGTGGTGATTCTCCAGGCTTTCAATGAGTTTCTTTCTCTTTTAAATGTGGATCAAGTTCAAGATTGATAGCTTCATATGAAAATTTTAAACACCCAAGTAAAATGTCCCAGGCTTACGGACATTATGTCTTTCTACTAGAGAAAATGTGCAATACCAATTTTATTGTTAATTACTAAGAATTGATGTACTATACTCCAGCAATTTGTAATATTGGCGAAATCAATCATCTTAATTGCAGAAGAAAAGGTGAGAAAGGAAAGGCTTTCACAGTGAACCATAGCTTTACACTTAGGTGTCAGAGATCTCTGCCTTCAAAGATAATTCACATGATTCAGCAGGTGCACATTCTATTCTGCACCATAATCTTTCTCCTTAGTTTAAAAAAATGATTCCTTTAAATTCATAATGTAAAAAAATAGTCCTTTATTTTTGAAAAATTGGCCACTTATTTAATTTTGTTTTCTCTTCTGATAAAGAACCTCAAGAAAAACAAAACTTACAAAAGTCTAGAATAAAACAAATTGTTTAATTTGCAAATAAAAACAATATATCAAATTATCCTCAATTTGTCAAAATCTTGAATATAATTTTCAGTTTGTAATAACTGTCCAATAAATGGCTATTATTACTTTGGTGATACTTAGCTGCTGTAACTGACTTAGCATTTCATGGCCAATAGCCTTGTGCAATGTCAGATTTAGACATCTATGATAGCTTGAAATGGTGTTTTGCTTATCTCCCAGAGTTGTTCTAAGTCTAACAAGTTTTGGACAAGTGTTTACTTGCCTAGCAACCCTTCCTAAGCCTGCTAGAAAGATTATAGTCTTGGAATTTCAGCAAATCTAGTACAAATAGCCCTAGAGTTCTTCTAACTAGGTATGGACCTTAGAAAAGATCCTTCCCTTGCAGTATTCATCTCCCAACCTGTAACATGGGGATAATTACAAAAAGTTGTGCTGGGAAGGAAGACAACAGTATCTGTAGATGTTTTCCACAAAGAAGAACTACTGCTGGTGGTATGCTGCTGTCATTATTACACTATTAATGTAACTATTGTGTGGTTTCTGGTGCTGTTTTCAGCACTGTACTTATCTTCTTTTTCTTTGTGGGATTTACATTAGATATGATAACTTTTTGTATATGCTGTGAGTATTTTCTTGGAGTTTCCAGTGTGTAAGAAAATTGTAATTTATTACATACAGTTCTTTTCCTGTTATCTTGATATTATTTCTACAGTTTAAAGGGCATCCATTAATCTAATTCTGTTTTTGCATTTTTAAAAAAATTTTTGTTCTTGTATTTTTATACTGATGTAGGATACAAGTAGTAGAGCTTTGTCTACATCATCAGGAAAAACATTAATCCCAACATTGACTATGGTACCTTTGAACATACTTTTAAAAATGTTAAACAAGTTGTTGAACTTTTTTTTTTTAAAAGATTTATTTATTTGTGTATACAGAACTGGGGTACAGGCCAGAGGCTCAGGGGCGGCGAGAGGCTTTACCATAGACACAGTGGGGAGCAAAACAGGCAGATGGACGAAGTACACTACTGAAGGGGGCAGTGGGCGGGTCAGGAGAGGTCTGCCACGCCATGTGGTCACCTCTGGGGCAGACGGGAATCGAACTCATGGGGAAGTGGTTTTAGCTTCTCAGTGGAGTGCTTTAACCCACTGCGCCACCAGGGAGGGCCAGAAATACTTTTATAATTATTCTAATTAGGGGATCTTCAACAATGAGAGAAAGTAAAAAAAAGACCCTCCTATTCTTCCTATCTTTAAGAAACCTCAAAAGACCTACCAGTCTTAAAGATAGCCGAGAAATGGTTATATGAATTAATATGAGGTACTTCACTTGTGTCAAATTATAGAAAAGATTAGACTGAAAAGGGAATTAGAGATTGCATGGATATTAATACATTTATTGAGCTAACAGTTATTATGTAGTTGCCAAATACTTTACATACATTTCCTAATTTAATCCTTGCAACAACTGCAAGGTATGTATAGGTTCATATATGTAGAGTTATTTAGCCATATATGTGCAGTTAATTAATAATGAGCTGTAATTTGAATCTAATTTTATCTGTCTCCAAAATCAGTACTTTACTCCTCGACTTCGTCCTCAGGAATTTTGTCACATAACTCATAATTCCAAGATTTTGTCAAAGTAAATTTTTTGGAAAAATCTGACTCTCTCAAAGTTCCAGATATATCTGTATATCTGTCATCTATCTATCTATCTATCTATGATATACCTACCTACCTATCATTGATTGAACAGAGACTAAACATTTTCATCGTGTAAATGATGATCTTTCCTTTCTTCCTCCTTTTTTCCTTCTCCCTCCTTTTTTCCCTCTCTCCCTTCCTTCCCCCCTTCTTCCCTCCCTCCCTTCTTCTTTCTGCCTTCTGTTTTTTTTTCCAAACAGTATTTATTTTATTTATTTATTTTTAACATTCTTGTTTATTCACAATATAGAATATCTCCTCTCAGGCATCGCCATGATGGTTTTCCTACCACCAAAGCACCCATAGTCCTCCATCACAATCCACGGTGCTTTCCTGCCCTCTTTAGTTTTTTATTCTTCCCCTGTCCCCCTCCCTTCCTTCCCCCCCTCCACGCCTGCACCTTCTGAGGGCCTCAGATCTATGGTCTGCTTTCACAGGTCAATCTTAGTTTGTCTTTATCTGATCCTTTCTTGGGTTCCTCTAGATTCCACAAATAAGTGAAACCATCCAGTAGTTACCTTTCTCCTTCTGGATCACTTTGCTTAGAATAATCCCAGTTTCATCCATGTTGCCACAAATGGCATGAGTTTATCATTTTTGATCACTGAGTAGTAGTCCGATGTGTATATATCCCACATCTTAGTATGCACTCATCTGTTTTGGGTATTTAGATTATTTTCCATTTGGTTTTCAAATAAAGTTGTTGTGTCTGAATTAATCCTTCCTCACCAAAGCTTATTTTTCAGATTTGTCCAAGTTTTATATAATGAAGAATTAAATATCTAAGAAAAACCACATAGTAGAGAGGTAGGCAGGTGATAGAGACTGACAGGTACATAGATATAAAAGTAATTCCTTCTTTAAAGACAGAAGATTTAGATGTTCATTTGCCATTCACAGTGGTGTTTGATTTGTTAATTATAGCCAAGGTAAACCTTTTATGATGTATTTCTATTGCCTCAGCAGTAGCTCTAAGTCTTATGAAAAGAAATTGTTAGTAGGATCGAAGACCTATCAGAAGGGCTTGTGTTAAGATCTTCAATTTAACTTATAGATGAGCAATTAAAGTTCAGAAAGGTGAAGTAGCTGGTCACAGAGTTAATGACAGGTCTCCTGATTAATCCAGTTATTCTATGGTAATCATTAGAAACTTTATCTTTTATTTGAAAATATGAACTAAGTAGGGCAGACAATCTCCTGATTTCAGTGACATATATAACTTGTCAGATCACCATCAGGTCTTTACTATGATTTGTAGAGATTTGTCTGAGAGAAGTGTATTGTACTCTTACCAATGTGAATATATGTTGTATTTCATCTCTTAGCATATGCTAAGTCTCAGCTAAGAGTAAGAACACAGATTTAACTGGTTCAGAAGAAAGGTTTTCATTCTGGTAAAGTAGAACATGAACATATGTAACATGTATTTTGAATTTGTAATAGTTCTTCAGGCTTCTGGAATTGCTTGGGATCCTTTTACCAGTGTTCCCATGACTTAGTTAATATCTAAATTTTGTCAGATTATAGGGACCTATAAGTATGTGTCTAGATGAATAATATTGACTCTGATTGCAGAGGTTAAAGCATTATAAGGAAAGTGAAAGTATTCTCTGGTGAGCAAGGTCAGTACCCAAATGTTGCATAATATCCAGATCATTTTAAAAGCCTACAAGGTTGTTAAACAATAAGTGTTAATAGCACAATTTTATGATTCAGAAAATGGAAATAAAATAGTTTGCTATATTTCTCCAAAGACTCACAAGTATCTCACAGGTTTGGAAATAGAATCCAGATTTCCTGGCTCTTCATAATCTTGTACTTAGTCTATTAGTCCCATATTGTGTAAAGTATGTCTTTGATACTTTAGACAATTCATTTCTCCCCCATTTCCATCATCACAAGTGCAGTTCAGGTTCTCATTAACCCTTGTGATCATGACAATAACCTTTTAACTATAATGCCAGTTTTGGGTCTCTCATTCTGCCAGCGTTTCCTCCTGCTTAGTTCAGACCATAATACACTACTCATTTGAAGTCATTGCAACTGTGTGGCCAGCCAGGTTAGTCTACACCCAACAAAGAACTGTTGCTGATCTTAAGTACTTCCGGCATGTCGCCCACTACTGTCTTGGCTTTCTAGCCCGCTATGCTTCAGTCACTAGACTGGCTGTACTGTTTCTTTTCTTAGACATGCATTCCCTTTGCTACTTCATTGCTTCTGCTTGTGCTGATCCTTGTTTTAGAAAGGATCTTTTTCTCACATCTTTAAATGCCAGCACACACTCTCACTCTTTGAATGCTCTCAGTAAGTCTACAGGTCAATATATTATTGTCTCCACTCTACAGGCATAAGAGCTGAGAGAATCAGAGGAGTTAAGTTGCTAGTAAGTAGTGGGGTTTGAACACTAGTCTGGGTGGTCCTGGAGTTCAAGCACCCTTACCAAAAGTCTGCTGCTCATTATGTCATGATGCCTTACTCCAGCCTCCTGGATTTCCTGCTTACTCATCTTTGTTTAAATCTCTACCACTGATGTGTGTACATCTACCTTACCACTCTTAAATTTTAATATTCTTGAAACAGAGATGTTTGATTATTTTTTTAATCCAAACCATCTTTTCTATAATGTATATACTTAAATGAAAAAACATTACCACTCTGACCTTCCCCTATAAAATATATATATATATATATATATAGTGATAGGGAATGTTCTTGAGAATACCTCATCTGCTGTGAGGTGGAGGTGACATTGTGAAAATGGAAGAAAGAATACCATGGGGCATGTATATTCTATCACTGTCACGCTGTTTTGCTAAGTAAGCCATTTCCCTAAAACTGCATTCTCTTTTTATGAAAGGTGAATCTACAGATGAAATGTTGATGAAGTAGGTAACATAGGGAAACTATGAGATTCTAAAAAATATTGTGGCATTGAGGAAAAGATAGTGGCTGGCACTTACAAACTGTGGGTGTCTGTGCCAGCTCTGCCCCTTTGTGTTATGTAATCTTAGGCAAGTCAGTTAATAGTTTTTTTTTAGTTTTGCTGCCTCTCATGTTATCATGAGGACCAAATTAAGTAGTATGTGAGAAAGTGCTTTACAAAATAACATAATATTGCTTCAGAACCTTCAGATTATGAATAAATTATAACGAGAACTTTTATTTGTTGTTCAGTGCTGATGTAGTTCGTTCAAAGAAAAGATTGTAGCTTTCCATAAGAGATTAACTAATGTCTGTGCTTCATAGATAGGAAAAAAGACAGGGATGCATTTGATACGGAGAATTCAAAATTTGTTAAGATCCATTTGTGCAAGGGAAAATAATTTTGCTGTTATTGACATCTTAGTATTTTATAATGTGGTCCTTATTTTTTTTTTTTTTTTACAGACAAAGTGGCGTCAGAATTACTACAAGGTTATAGTAAATACTTGCCACATGATTTTGTTGTCATGACTGTGAAGCTATGCATACTATTTGCTGTGCTTCTGACAGTCCCTCTAATCCACTTCCCTGTAAGTACTCTTAAAGGTTTTGTTGCTCAGTGTAGTGGCTCCCTAATATGGCAACACTAATTCTTTGCAGACTAGAACGTTTGAAACACATCTAGTCTTGTATATCTTATTCATTTGTCAAGTAATTGATCAAAGAGCTCATACTTGCATATGGCCCCATGAAAGCACAAAAATAACAGGGAACCACTAAGCTAATTTGTGCTTTTTGAGATTTAGTTTAGATTTATGCTCTCCCACAGCATTGTTTCCAATTTAGAGACTATAGTTCTAAAGTTTGGGGGTTTTTTCCCCCTTTAATTCTGTATTCTGTTTTCAAAAGAATGTGCATGAAGAGGAAAAAGTCAGGTCAGCAAAAATAAGCTCCTTCTGGTGTATTGTAAATTTATTTTCACATTAACATTCTAGTTTTTAAGCTCAGTCAAAATATCTTATTTGCTCTGGAATTATAATTTAAGGGGCAGAACAGATTTTCATTCTGCATGTAGTTGCTGGTCATCATCTTAAGAATTTTTGAGAAATTGTGAACAAAATCTTTCTTCATGGCTGTCTTGAAACCCTAACCAGTGAGTTAGTAAAGAATTGGGCCTTCAGAGAAAGATAAATAATGGATGGTGTCACTAATATGCAGAATATAATGTAACTAAATTAATAGTCAGATAAAGACAAGCTGAAAAACTAAATTTTGATAGCTAGCTACACAAGTGCGACGTGAAAGGGGGGGTGGGGAAAAGGAAGAACAAAGAGGGAAGAAAGCAAATGATCTTTGGTGGTGGAATGTGGGTGAGTTGGTGGTGGTTACCTTGCGGTGGTAGTACCTGATGGGGGAAACTCAATGTTACCTCAGTTAAAAATACATAAATAAGAGCATTGGGCCTTCAAGATTTTTTGCCTCTTCCCTGCGTGGACTGTAGTCCCAGGGGTGCAGTGGGGACTCAATAAATGTTTGGGGGCTATGACTGCCAGCTGTCCACGTTAGCAGTGCAAGTTTCATGAACTGGTTTTCATATTTATATGCTGTGAAGCAGATAATATAAAATAAAATAGTAAATGGTATTTCTTTACATGGCATGATTTATTTTTTTGTTAAATCTGTTAAATTTAATGAAAATGATTCACTGAGATTTCATCACAAAATGCTATTGTTGGCAATTCTGAAAATTAAGCAACCAAGAAAACTGGATGAGAAGGGTTTTTTTCTGGAATTAAAGCAAAATACATTTTATGAAGCACATGCAGGAGGATACTTTTCTTTGCTTATATGTAAATATGATAAGAGTTTATGCTATTTTTGGAATCTCGATGTTTAGGGGGCAAGTACTAATAGTACATGTGTTTCTCTACCCAAGTATTTTGACTTTAACAGTTCCTCCTTGATTAAAGCTATTTCTTTTTCTGTTATACAGGCAAGGAAAGCGTTAATGATGATATTTTTCTCCAATTTTCCATTCTCATGGATTCACCATTCTTTGGTCACTGTAGCACTCAACATTATCATTGTTTTACTTGCTATTTATGTTCCTGACATTAGGAATGTATTTGGTGTAGTGGGTAAGTTTTCTATTTCAAAAGGTCCTTATAATAAAGTGGATAAAGTTGTTGTCCAGTCTTATGTCTGAATCTGATAACATTTTCTCTTTTTTCTCTCTCCTCCTTTAAGGTTCCAGCACATCAACTTGTTTGATTTTTGTATTCCCTGGACTATTTTATCTTAAACTTAGCAGAGAGGATTTTTTGTCCTGGAAAAAGTTTGGGGTAGGTTAGGTTTTGTGTTTCCTTTTAAGAATTCTAAGAAATAATTTGTTATTTTGTAATTAAGTATTTTATCTACATCAAGGAAATTAAAGTACTTTAGATAACAATGTACATTACTAGAGAAGGCTGAGGTTTAAAAAGAATTTTAATTGTTATTTATCTTTTTCCTTATTTGACAGGCCTGTGTTTTGCTCATCTCTGGGATTTTGGTTGGAAGTTTTAGTTTAGTACTCATCATTTTTGATTGGATTACTAAATGAAAATATATTTTCCCACCTATTATGAAGACTAATTTATTTCCATTGCAAAAAGGAATAAGTCTGGAAGGTACATGAGATAAATTTTCTTTGTATTGTTAACATTTTTGTAAACATTAACAGAAAAGTGGAACAAAGTGAGAGCAGGTAAGGGAAATGGACACCTGGTAGCTTTAACCCAAATAAGAAACAAACTCATTGTATTCAAGTATAGTGGGTCAATCTTTTAGTTGTTGATGTTGCTTAAATTAATAGTCTTTATTTTTAGGGCAGTTTGAATATTTACAAAAATATTTTGCAGAAAATCCTCACAGACAATGCAGGCATTAACAACCAATGATCTTTTTTCTCTCTCCACAAAAAACTATGATCCTTTCCCTGTGAGCCTTTTCACAATGGCATAGTTGGACTCTTCTCACCTTTCAGACTGGCCCCCTTCCTTAGCAATATGCAGTTAAATTTCTATGTCTTTTTATAACTTGTTGCTCATTTCTGTTTATCACTGAATTCCATTGTATGGATGTACTATTGTATCCATTCATGTAAGTGCTGGCAGTTATAAATCAAATCATAAACATAAAACAAAAATAAACAATAACACTATAGATATTTGCATGAATTTTTAAGCTTATTTGGGTTAGTAGCAAGGAGTACAATTGCTGTACCGTATGATAAGAATATGTTTAGTTTTATAAGAAACTGCCAAACTGCCTTCCAGAGTGGCTATAACATTTTTCATTCCTGCCAGCAATGAATAAGAGTTCCTAATGTTCCACATCCTCATCGGCACTTGGTGTTATCAATGTTCTGGATTTTTTTCCATTCTCCTAAAGGTATAGTTGTATCTCATTGTTTTAATTTAAAGTAACTAATGGCACATGATTTTGAGCATCTCTTCATGTGTTTATCTTCTGTTTGTTTTCTTTGGCGAGGTTCAGTTCTTTCGCCTGCTTTTTAATTAGGCTGTTTTCTCATTGTTGATTTTTAAGATATGTTGATTATTATAGATACTAGTACTTTATCAGATATGTATTTTGCAAAGATCTTCTGGTCTGTGTCTTGTCTTCTCATTTGCTTAAAAGTATCTTTGGCAGAGCCAAAGTTTTTAATGTTACTAAATATGTTGGCTCAATCTTTTGTTTGTTTTTAAAGAAAGCAATGTATTAAAGTTTATATACAAAGTTGAATCTTGTGGGTTAATGTTGTCAACATTAATCACTATTAACAAAACTGTGGGATTATTCCATTTGGTATTTGGCCCTGTCTCTAAATCCCTTCTGAAGAACTTTTGTGATTTTCCTCTGTTGTTCATTATGAGATAGAGCTATTATGATTGGCTGTGGATTTGAAAGTTCTCAGAACTTTTGCAGCTTGTCACTAAAACATGTGCTTTTCTACTTGGCAAACAGAGACACATATTGATAATTTATATCATATTTTGTTTGGAGGTTATAAATCATTCCAGTCTTTCCATTGATTGTGGCTTATTTCTGTTTGGAAATCAGAGACCAGGGCTTTCCTCCTCTTGAGGATTATATGTTTAGGGCATCTTATTAATAGCCGATCAGGCGTATCAGTAAAAATGTAATCCTACCTGGTGCACATGTAAAGCAGGGAACTGCATGCAAAGTGTCACTTTGCATATATGGAAATGCACACCTTTGTGGGTCCCCTTGCTTGTCACCTGGGAAAGGGGCTGAAAAATTGACAACTGAGTTTTTTCTTTTGAATAAAAATAATTTGGCAACTTGAGATCAGCATGGTGTAAGGGAAAGGCTCCAGTTTGGGGGTTGGAGAGACTTAGATTCAAATCTCAGTGAATTTAGGCAAACTACTTAACCTCTTTAAGCCTTCACTTTCACATAGGCATTAAATGGGGTTAATACCAATTATACAGGGTTGTGTTGAGAGGATTAAATGACCTTGTATAAATTAGGTGCAGACCCAAACAGCCTTTCTCAATAGATTATTTATCCCTATACTTTCATTCCTTCATCTGAGCCAGTAAAATGAATTTGCTTTCAGTCAGAGATGTGGAAGCACATGTTGAATTTTTTCATTTTGCGTCTTGCTCAATTGATATATTTAAAATCTTTCTTTAGCCTTCATTTAGAGGCGAACTGGCCCCATGTGCACAGATTTTAGTGCTTTCTTACAGTTGTAAGCCAGTTGTACTCTATTAATGCCTTCCTGAAACTGGGCACTTAGCATAGTCCCAGGGGCACAGCCAGTCATGGCTCACATATGACTTCAGGTCAGCCAGAGCCCATCAATCTGATAAACTAATTCTTGTACTCTCTTTTTCTGTTTATGAAATTATAGATTAAAGTGCAAATAGGTGTTCAGCTGCTTTAATAACTCCAACTCCAGGAATACCAAAATAGCCGTAAGTGCAACAGATGCAAGGATGCCCCTGGGGCAGATGTTAAGTGTGATGACAGCTGGGCATCAATTAATACATTTGTCACCTGCTCACAGGATAGGCGCATAGAAGGTTTGGAAAAGGGATAAGTAACCTATTCAGCAGTCTGTACAAAACTTAGTAGATATCAAGAGGAATCATTTGTGAAGGTGTTTATTTCTATTTTACTTTAATGTGGCCTGCTTTATCCAGTTGCCTGTTTGGAGTCACAGCTTTCTGTGATTTTGGAAGAAGCTAATAAGATGGTTGCAAAAAGCAATGCCCTCTTTACCAGGATTATCCCTCCCAAAAAAAACAACCACCATGTTCAAGTATTCCTCAGCATTTTTCTTGGGAAATTTAGGCCTTCTCATAATAGGCTTAATGTTCATAATTTATTAGGTAATAACTATTTAAAATAAAACTAAGTAAAGCACAAAATGTACACATTTCTAACACTTGGAGACTTGTTTGCTAAATTAAAAGACAAAGTGCTGAGAATATAAATTACTTTCGTATGTTGAGGGTGAATGTTTAAATTGTACTTTTTTAAAATGTAATGTTTACTCATGAGCTTAGCATTTAAATAGTTAAAACAAGTCTTTGAAGTTAACACTCCATTAAGATGAATGGGGGTAATTCACACCTCTGCTGGTGCTGTATTATTTCAGTCTGGCTGTGGAGAAAACAAGACAGCAATAGGTTGATTTACTGTGTGAAGGCCCTTTAAACACCCAAGGTCTGGAAATCTCCCTCTCTCCCCCCCCCCCAACTTTACTCCCTACAAGGAAAGTCTGAAATTTAGTACAACCTACATAGAGGACCTAAGCTATGAGTGTACCCTAGATTCTCTACTCTTTGGCGGTTCCCACATGGCATTTGATGAATAGTAGCAAACCTGCCGAGCCACTCTGATTTTGCTTGTGCCTGTAGTCTCTTCTTACCATGATGTCTTTAAATTTTAAGTTTAGTGTTCTGGTGAATTCATCGATGGATTAAGAGCACTAACCAACCATTTTTGGGTAACTTTACATGTGCCTTTAATGTGTTATGAACTAATCATTTTCCTTCAGATGCCCCCCAAATAATTTTATCTTTGCAAAAATTTCATATTCTACATTACCCTACAAATATACCTTCACCTTTAAGAATGTTTTCTTCTCCCTTATTTCAGGGAAGCAGGGTGTTATGAAGTGAGCAGAGATCCTTGGAAAACATTCATTTCTTTCTCAGTGTGTTCTTGGCACCAGTATTACTTTGTATTTGAAAACTGTGCTCTCCCCATGGGGTGGGGGTAAGGGGTTGGTAATGCTACAGACAGCAAGCATTAATTTTAGAGACCATGGATAAGGTTATGTGAGCACAAATTAATTGGTGAGCATTGTATGAGATGTTAATGAATTGGGAAAACTTTTTTGAAAATAGATTTTTCTCTTTTCTGTTCTCTGTCCTGTGTGTTTGCTGGATCAGGTTACTAGATAATCTGTGGGTAGCTGGGTGTGGAGAGTATTTCCTGTCTCTTGTGCTAACATTGCCAGTACAGTACATACACATGAAAAATAGATGCTGGAAACAAAGAGACCCAATTAATTAAACCTGTTTTTCTTCTTGGAATATCAGTAGTAATCTGTGCTGTGTGAGAATTAGCTCTGTTTGAAGTACACTCTGCTTCTTGCAGTGATTTTTAGGGATCATAGTTTTTGTCTTTAGAATGTCCCAGAACTTTCCATAATGCCTTTAAATTTATTTTTCTAATTTAAGCACAGAAATTATTTATTGTCCTGGTATAATCTCCCTGCAGTCTTTTCATGATGAAGGAAGGAAGCAACATTTTGGTAAAATATGAGTAAAAATGTTATGGATGTGGTTTCCTCATTGCAATCAGAACTTGTTTTCTCACCTTTTTAAAATAATCTGATGCATGTTATTACTATAGCTGATCTTCTGTCCTTGTTTACGAGTCTGTCAATCAAAGTGAGCAATTATAAGGAGCAGGAAGTCTTAGCTTGGCTCATGGCCAGGTGGACAGGTGGGAGTGAGAGGTTTATTCACCTATGGGACAAATAAATGGGTGGGGAGGGGAATTAGTTGCCAGGGGAAAAAAGATGGATTAAAGAGCTTTGTAATATGGAATGCTATATAAAAAAATAAGATTTGCAGAGAAGTGTTTCTCCCTGTTTGGATGTATTTGTGTTTTATCAGTGAAAGGATGCACAACGGAAGCAAAAGGCTGACTAATTCATTGAGCAAATATGTACTGATCATGTTACATACAAGAAGTCAGGCTATTCCCAAGGATGTGCGACTAAATAAGGCACACTTCCCACCTAAAAAAAACTTATACACAGCTTAGATTTTTTTTTCTAACTGAATCTTTTCAGATAGAATTGAGTGAAAATGATTAACTTAATGGAAAAATTAGGTATACCTACATAGGCACGTCTCTATGTACACACACACAGACATGTAAGATTTTGAAGTCAAATTTACCTGCTTTCAAATCCCAGCTCAACATTTTTCTAATTTGGGGCATGCTCATTGAATTCTCTGAAGATCTTCAGTGTTTGATGATTGAATTTTCTTTTAACCTAAAGGAAAATATACCTGTTTCTTTGAGTTAGGTTACATGGTATTTTGAGAAAGCAATGAATAAGTTATCAAGCATTGACTTGTTTGTACATACAGTTTTATTTCTTGGCTATTCTTCAAATAATGGTTCCCAAGTCATGTATCTTTTTTCCCTTCTCTCTTTGGCAACCTAGTCAGCAGTCTGCTCAGAAAACAGCATTCTAGAAGTTCCCTGCTTGATGGGAGTTTATTTTCACTATGAATGTATTCTTCCCCAGGAAAAAAATTTTGTGGTTTTGTAATAAATATTGTCAACGTACTCTTGATTTTACCTCACTTTTTCCTCTCTTATAAAGTATGTGGTCAGATAAAACTCCATGTTTTTTTCAGTTGAACAGCCCAGATTTCTAGGACTTGTGTTCTTGCTTTCAATTATTTTTAACATGAATAAATACATATTCATAAGTGTATGTGTATATGCATGCATATACACAGATCTGTTATTTAACAACATATGTCACATTTCATCTCATTAGCATTAGGTCATCTTTCCAGCAGTTGGAATCTCTTCAAAATCTTCATTCTAGTGGCCCTCCCTGGTGGCGCAGCGGGTTAAAGCCCAGCACTGAGAATCTAAAGCCGCTTGTGCATGAGTTCGATTCCCGCCTGCCCTGGAGGTGACCACATGGCGTGGCAGACCTCTCCTGACCCGCCCGCTGCTCCCCTCAGCAGTGTACTTCGTCGATCTGCCTGTTCTGCTCCCCACTCTGTCTCTGGTGAAGCCTCTCGCTGCCCCTGAGCCTCTGGCCTGTACCCCAGTTCTGTATGCACAAATAAATAAATCTTAAAAAAAAAAAGTATTAAAAAAAAAATCTTCATTCTAGTATATTATCCACTGTTTCCTGTTTTTTGACATCCTTCATCGTCCTGTCATTTTTTTATCCCACTCATGAATAAAATTTTAAGTGAGATAAAACTAACTCTGAGGTCCTGCTGCCCTCCACTGTAAGTGTTTCTGCCAAGTTATTACTCTTCGGGTGAAGTTTTTAATAATTGTGGAATGTCATCTAGCCTGCATTTCCTCAGCTCCCCTGGAAGTGTCTCCCAAATCAGTTGGTATGCCTCAAATGCTTAGGTGTTTCCCATATTTTGAGTTGCTCTGGGACATGTCTAT